CACCACCACCACCACCACACTATACACCACCACCCCACCACCACCACCACCACACTATACACACCACACCCCCACCACCACCACCACCACACATACCACCACCACACCCCACCACACAACACCACACTATACAACACAACCACCACCACCACCACACCACCACACTATACACCACCACACCCCACCACCACCACCACCACACTATACACACCACACCCCACCAACCACCCCACCACACTATACACCACCACACCCCACCACACCAACCCCACACTATACACCACCACACCCCACCACCACACCACCACCACACTATACACCACCAAACCCCCACCACCACCCACCACACTACACACCACCACCCCACCACCACCACCACCACCACACTATACACCACCACACCCACCACCACCACACCACACTATACCCACACACCCCCACCACCACCACCACACTAACACCACCACACCCCACCACCACCACCACCACACTATACACCACCACACCCCACCACCACCACCACCACATATACACCACACACCCCACCACCACCACCACCACATATACACCACCACACCCCCACACCAACCACCACACTATACCACCACACACCCCACCACCACCACCACCACACTATACACCACCACACCCCACCACCACCACCACCACACTATACACCACACACCCCACCACCACCACCACCACACTAACACCACCACACCCCACCACCACCACCACCACCACTATACAACCCACCACACCCCACCCACCACCACCACCACACTATACACCACCACACCCCACCACCACCCCACCACACTATACCCACCACACCCACCACCACCACCACCACACTACACACCACCACACCCACCAACCACCACCACCACACATACACCACCACACCCACACCACCACCACCACCACTATACACCACCACACCCCACCACCCCACCACCACACTAACACCACCACACCCCGACCACCACCACCACCACACTATACACCACCACACCCCACCACCACCACCACCACACTATACACCACACCCCACCACCACCACCACCACACTCTCATACACACCCACCACCACACCACCACCACCACCACACTAACACACCACACCCACCACACCACCACCACACCACTATACACCACCACACCCCACCACCACCACCACGCTTTACCACCACCACTACACCCCCACCACCCCACCACCACCCCCACCACACTATACACCACCACACCACCCACCACCACCACACTATACACCACCACACCCACCACCACCACCACCACCACCACCACCACACACTATACACCACCACACCCACCACCACCACACCACCACCACCACCACCACACACCTACACCACCACACCCCACCACCACCACCACCACCACACTATACACCACCACACCCCACCACCACCACCCCACGCTACCCCACCACACACTATACCACCACCACACCCCCACCACCACCACCACAACCTATACACCACCCACACCCCCACCACCACCACCACCACACTATACACCACCACACCCCACCACAACCACCACACCCCACTATACACAACAACCCCACCACCACCACCACCACACTATACACCACCACCACCACCACCACCACCACACACTATACACCACCACACACCACCACCACCACACCACCACACTATACACCACCACACCCCACCACCACCACCACCACACTATACACCACCACACCCCACCCCCACCACACCACACTATACACCACCACAACCCCACCACCACCACCACACATACACCACCACACCCCACCACCACCACACCACACTATACACCACCACACCCCACACACACACCACCACCTATACACACCACAACCACCACCACCACCACCACACTATACCCCACCACCCCACCACCACCACCACCACACTATACACCACCACACACCCCACCACCACCACCACCACACTATAACCACCACACCCCACCACCACCACCACCCACACTATACACCACCACACCCACCACCACCACCACCACCACTACTAACACCACACCCCACCACCACCACCACCACACTAACACCACCACACCCCCACCACCACCACACTATACACCACCACCCACCACCACCACCACCACACTATACACCACCACACCCACACACCACCACCACACTATACCCACCAACCCCACCACCACCACCACCACCCTATACACCACCACACCCACCACCACCACCACACACACTATACACCACCACACCCCACCACCACACCACACACTATACACCACCACACCCCACCACCACCACCACCACACTATACCACCACACACCCCACCACCACCACCACCACACTATACACCACCACACCCCACCACCACCACCACCACACTATACACCACCACACCCCACCACCACCACCACACACTATCCACCACCACACCCCACCACCACCACCACACTATACACCACCACACCCCACCACCACCACCCACACACTATACACCACCACACCCCACCACCACCACCACCACACTATACACCACCACACCCCACCACCACCACCACCACACTATACACCACCACACCCCACCACCACCACCACACTATACACCACCACACCCCACCACCACACCACCACACTTATACACCCACCACACCCCACCACCACCACCACCACACTATACACCACCACACCCCACCACCACCACCACCACACTATACACCACCACACCCCACCACCACCACCACCACACTATACACCACCACACCCCACCACCACCACCACCACACTATACACCACCACACCCCACCACCACCACCACCACAACTATACACCACCACACCCCACCACCACCACCACCACACTATACACCACCACCCCCACCACCACCACCACCACACTATACACCACACCCCACCCACGCACCACACCACCACCCTACCACCACCACACCCCACCACCACCACCACCACACATACACCCCACACCCCACCACCACACCACCACACTATACACCACCACACCCCACCACCACCACCACACACTAACACCACCACACCCCACCACCACCACCACCACACTATACACCACCACACCCCACCACCACCACCACCACACTATACACCACCACACCCCACCACCACCACCACCACACTATACACCACCACACCCACCACCACCACCACCACACTATACACCACCCACCCCACCACCACCACCACCACACTATACACACCACACCCCACCACCACCCCACCACACTATACACCACCACCCCACCACCACCACACTATACACCACCACACCCCACCACCACCACCACCACACTATACACCACCACACCCCACCACCACCACCACCACACTATACACCACCACACCCACCACCACCACACTATACACCACCACACCCCACCCACCACCACCACACTATACACCACCACACCCCACACCACCACCACACTATACACCACCACACCCCACCACCACCACCACCACACTATACACCACCACACCCCACCACCACCACCACCACACTATACACCACCACACCCCACCACCACCACCACCACACTATACACCACACCACCACCACCACCCCCACTACGTGTGTGCATGACCTATCCGATCGACTAATAATTTCGACGGTTTAGGCCCCCTCCTCCCCCGGGGTAGAAACAATTATTTGCTGGGTGGGACAGAGGTTCGGGGTGAAAGGCAGGTGGGTGGGGGAGGGTGATAAAAACACGCGAGTTCCACATGCCGCGCCGGGGTGGTGATCTGGCTGATAGCTGCTGCTGCTGCTGATAGCTGCTATCAGCTGCTGATAGCAGCTGCTGCTGCTGATAGCTGCTATCAGTTGCTGATAGCTGCTATCAGTTGCTGATAGCAGCTATCAGCAGCTGATAGCAGCTATCAGTTGCTGATAGCTGATAGCAGCTGATAGCTGATAGCAGCTGCTGATAGCAGCTGCTGATAGCTGATAGCAGCTGCTGATAGCAGCTGCTGATAGCTGATAGCAGCTGCTGATAGCTGATAGCAGCTGCTGATAGCTGATAGCAGCTGCTGATAGCTGATAGCAGCTGCTGATAGCTGATAGCAGCTGCTGATAGCTGATAGCAGCTGCTGATAGCTGATAGCAGCTGCTGATAGCTGATAGCAGCTGCTGATAGCTGGTAGCAGCTGCTGATAGCTGATAGCAGCTGCTGATAGCTGGTAGCAGCTGGTAGCAGCTGCTGATAGCAGCTGGTAGCAGCTGCTGATAGCTGGTAGCAGCTGCTGATAGCTGGTAGCAGCTGCTGATAGCTGGTAGCAGCTGCTGATAGCTGGTAGCAGCTGCTGATAGCTGGTAGCAGCTGCTGATAGCTGGTAGCAGCTGCTGATAGCTGGTAGCAGCTGCTGATAGCTGGTAGCAGCTGCTGATAGCTGGTAGCAGCTGCTGATAGCTGGTAGCAGCTGCTGATAGCTGGTAGCAGCTGCTGATAGCTGGTAGCAGCTGCTGATAGCTGGTAGCAGCTGCTGATAGCTGGTAGCAGCTTGCTGATAGCTGGTAGCAGCTGTGATAGCTGGTAGCAGCTGCTGATAGCTGGTAGCAGCTGCTGATAGCTGGTAGCAGCTGCTGATAGCTGTAGCAGCTGCTGATAGCTGATAGCAGCTGCTGATAGCTGGTAGCAGCTGCTGATAGCTGGTAGCAGCTGCTGATAGCTGGTATCAGCTGCTGATAGCTGGTAGCAGCTGCTGATAGCTGGTAGCAGCTGCTGATAGCTGATAGCAGCTGCTGATAGCTGATAGCAGCTGCTGATAGCTGATAGCAGCTGCTGATAGCTGGTAGCAGCTGCTGATAGCTGATAGCAGCTGCTGATAGCTGATAGCAGCTGCTGCCGGTAGCAGCTGCTGCCGGTAGCAGCTGCTGCCGATAGCTGCTGCTGCCGATAGCTGCTGCTGCTGATAGCTGATAGCAGCTGCTGCTTTGTGCTTCATGATGAGGTTTGTTTATTTCGTTAGAGGTCGCGTGAATGTATCGTCACCACCACCTTCACACAGCACCTCCGATTCGCGCGGTTGGCTGCGTGCGGTGCGAAAGAAACTACCAACTCGTGTTTTTATTTCGCCAGGGGGTCTGTGGGGCCCCACTGAGCTGTGTGGCTCTCTGTTCAGAAGCGACTCTGGCCGTCACACGTGATGGCCTCGACGAAGTGGCCATTTGTATCAGCCGCCAAATAACTCAAAACACGCGCGGTGTCGATTCTAAACGTGGATGGGGAAAAACCGGAGGACCCGGAGAAAAATCCACGCGAGCTCCAAATATACAGCAGCAGGCATCGTCAGGGTCGGGATCGAACCCACGAACTCCTGCAGACCAGGCGAGGTAGTTAACATCTCCTAGCCACCGTGATGATGATGATGAGAGAGACGCAAACTCCAAATATACAGCAGCAGGCGTCAGCGTCGGGATCGAACCCACGACCTCCTGTAGACCAAGCGAGGTAGTTAACATCTCCTAGCCACCGTGATGAAAATGATGAGAGAGACACAAACTCCAAATACACAGCAGCAGGCGTCAGCGTCGGGATCGAACCCACGAACTCCTGCAGACCAGGCGAGGTAGTTAACATCTCCTAGCCACCGTGATGATGATGAGAGACACGCAAATTCCAAATATACACCAGCAGGCGTTCGGTTCTGAATGGAACCCACGACCTCCTGTACACCAGGCGAGGTAGTCAACATCTCCTAGCCACCGTGATGAAAATGATGAGAGAGACACAAACTCCAAATACACAGCAGCAGGCGTCAGGGTCGGGATCGAACCCACGACCTCCTGCACACCAGGCGAGGTAGTCAACATCTCCTGGCTACCATAGCGAAGTTCAACAGACAGCCAATGAGCAAGGCTGTTACATGGACAGGAGGCGTCCCCAATCGGTGACAACCTCAGCACCACACCGGGTTGCGTGTTGGGCGCAAACCCCCCCAGAGCAACGTTTTACAATTCGAGTTGACGACGCTTCGGTGTTGAAAATGTTGCGTCACACGCTCACACGTGATGCCGAAATTGTCACTTGCTGGGCACGTGGTGTCCCCTATTGTGTGTGTCCTATTGTGTGTGTGTGTCCCCTATTGTGTGTGTGTGACCTATTGTGTGTGTGTCCCCTATTGTGTTTGTGTGACCTATTGTGTGTGTGTCCCCTATTGTGTGTGTGTCCCCCTATTGTGTGTGTGTCCCCTATTGTGTGTCCCCCTATTGTGTGTGTGACCTATTGTGTGTGTGTGTGTCCCCTATTGTGTGTGTGTGACCTATTGTGTGTGTGTCCCCTATTGTGTGTGTGTCCCCTATTGTGTGTGTGTGTCCTATTGTGTGTGTGTGTCCCCTATTGTGTGTGTGTCCCCTATTGTGTGTGTGTCCTATTGTGTGTGTGTGTCCTATTGTGTGTGTGTGTGTCCCCTATTGTGTGTGTGTGTCCCCTATTGTGTGTGTCCCCTATTGTGTGTGTGTGTCCTATTGTGTGTGTGTGTCCCCTATTGTGTGTGTGTGTCCTATATTGTGTGTGTGTGTCCCCTATTGTGTGTGTGTCCTATTGTGTGTGTGTGTCCCCTATTGTGTGTGTGTGTCCTATTGTGTGTGTGTGTCCCCTATTGTGTGTGTGTCCTATTGTGTGTGTGTGTCCCATACTGTCTGTGTGTGTCCCCTATTGTGTGTGTGTGTCTCCTATTGTGTGTGTGTCCCCTATTGTGTGTATGTCCCCTATTGTGTGTGTGTTGTGTCTCCTATTGTGTGTGTGTCCCCTATTGTTTGTCTCCTACTGTCTGTGTGTGTGCCCTATTGTGTGTGTCCCCTATTGTGTCTCCTACTGTCTGTGTGTGTCCCCTATTGTGTGTGTCTCCTATTGTGTGTGTGTTCCCTATTGTTTGTGTCCCCTATTGTTTGTGTGTGTCCCATACTGTCTGTGTGTGTGTCTCCTACTGTCTGTGTGTGTCCCCTACTATCTGTGTCTCCTACTGTTTGTGTGTGTCCCCTACTGTCGATGTGCATAGAAACTTCTTTAGCACCGTACGTAGCCAACCGTGGCTTTATTGGAGGTGCGCGGTGGGGGGGTAGGGGGGCACAAACTCAACGCGCACGAAGCAGTTTCGAAAGAAATGAGTTTGTCAACGTGGACGACGATGATGATGACGATGATAACGATGATGACGATGATGATGATGGCGATGATGATGATGACGACGACGATGATGACGACGACGATGATAACGACGACGATGATGACGGTGATGATGCTGATGATTTAAAAGTGCACTGCACACCTCTCCCCGGCGGCTTGCTGATATCGCAAAGGGAGAGAGCGTTCCAGACGGCCGCAGAGGCTTGTCCCAGAGGCGCCGCGTGACGGCGCGGTGACCCCCCCCTCCCCGCCGCCTTTGTCCGACGGTTTGGCCAGAACCAAAAACAAGCCGCGCACGTTCTGATCTCAAACGTGGCGCGCATTAGCTGTGGGGCCGCGTCGGGTTGTGGTGGTGGGTGGGTGGTGGGGGGGTTACGACACATTTCACATTTTAACATTCGCTCGATCTCAACGACACTTTTTTACTACGAACAATATCGCTTGTCAACTCTTGCTATGTGCTGCTTTGCTGTTGTGCACCGCGCGCTTGCGATACGGGGGGGGGGGGGGGGGCATGGGGCGGCGTGGATTGCTGAAGAGTCAGAGCCGTCCGCAGCAGTACAGGTGGAGAGACGAGGGGATCGGCCGTCTGCCCTGGGCCCCACGCTTTGGGGGGCGGAGGGGATCCGCACCCCCCCCCCCCCCCCCCCGTGGACGGCTCTGACTGCGCAGCCACTGACTTGGCTTTGCCTGCACTGACGCCCGTTGTGTTTGTCAACCCCTTGCTGAGTGGCGATGATGCTTGCGGTGGTTACTTGAAGCGAATTCGGTGGTGGCAGTGGTTGCTGCGGCTGGCGCCTTGTTGTTGTGGCGGGGATGGGGTGGGGTGGGATGGAGGCAGAGGTCGCAACCGGGTACCCGATACCCGTACCCTACACGATACCCGTACCCTACCCGATACCTGGCTACCCGTACCCGGCCAGGTACGGGTAGGCCGTGAGTCACTGGCGAGTCACCGTTTGTCACTCATTTCCCAACGTCTTGTCTCTTCTCACAATTCAAGTTCCTAGAATCAACCCACCCGCGCCTGCAACATGGCTTCATCCCAGAGGTCCAATCGGGTACCCGTACCCTACCCGATACCCGGCCGGGTACGGGTAGCTGGGTATCTGGTAGGGTACAGGTACGGGTACCCGTTTGCGACCCTGGTGCGGCCGGGTACGGGTAAGGAATCAAATCCCGTTTGCGACCTCTGGATGGAGGAGATGACGGGAGGGGAGGTGATGAGAGACAGATGATGATAGAGACGCGGTGAGATGAGACGTATTTCGACTTAAAAATTTCGTGACTGCAGGAATTCATATTCTTGGTTCTTTCGGTAAAGACACGTGGATAGAAAACCAAAATCTAAATTGAGATGAGACACAGATGATAGAGACGCAGCGAGACAGACGCAATAAGATGATACAGAGATGGTACAGGCACAGTGAGACAGACACAGATGGGACACAGATGGGACAGATACAATAAGATGATACACAGATGGTACAGACGCAGTGAGACAGACACAGATGGGACACAGATGGGACAGATGCAATAAGATGAGACACAGATGGTACAGGCACAGTGAGACAGACACAGATGGGACACAGATGGGACAGACGCAATAAGATGAGACACAGATGGTACAGGCACAGTGAGACAGACACAGATGGGACAGATGCAATAAGATGATACACAGATGGTACAGACGCAGTGAGACAGACACAGATGGGACAGATGCAATAAGATGATACACAGATGGTACAGGCACAGTGAGACAGACACAGATGGGACAGACACAGTGAGACAGACACAGATGGGACACAGTGAGACAGACACAGCATTGGGATAAAACAGATCGGATGTCGACAAAATCGATATCAATGTATTGACGAGGCAGATCGATTTTCGACGACAGACAAATTGGCGTTATGTTAATTCGGACAGTGAATTCACTGATATTTGATATCGCCCCCTAATTGTGTTTTTAATCATGAACCCCCCCCCCCCCCACCTCGAATCCCCTTGAGATAGTTGTAAATGGGAGGTCGCTTTGCTTGTGCATTACAGCCACCACCCGAATCGAATGTTTTGTGTCTCAACACACTGGGGAAGTGAGCTGTGAAAAAAATAATAATATATATATATAGCCGTCGTCGTGGGGAATGTGAATAGTTTAAATCATTTATGCCTCCTCCACATCTCTTTCTCTACGCGTACAGTTTTAAAAAACATACGGATGTAACGTACCAAACACGCGTCCCACTCGCCACTAAGGGATACGTAAACACACAGGTACAAACTCGGGACCGGTTTCGACTTTTCACTGGTTCATAAGCAGCAGCAGTCAGACTTTGCTTGAAGCAATTGCTGGTGAAACTGCCCGGATGTTTATACGCCGGAGGCTGAGGTCGCAATCGGGTACCCGATACCCGTACCCTACCCGATACCCGGCTAGCTGTACCCGGCCGGGTACGGGTAGGCCGTGAGTCACTGGTGAGTCACCGTTTGTCACTCATTTCCCAACGTCTTGTCTCTTCTCACAATTCAAGTTCCTAGAATGAACCCATCCGCGCCTGCAACATGGCTTCATCCCAGAGGTCGTACCCTACTCGATACCCGGCCGGGTACGGGTAGCTGGGTATCGGGTAGGGTACGGGTACAGGTACCCGTTTGCGACCCTGGTGCGGCCAGGTACGGGTAAGGAATCAAAACCCGTTTCCGACCTCTGGCCGGAGGCTGGTTTCGACTTTTCACTGGCTCATCAACAGCAGAGTCAGACTTTGCTTGAAGCAATTGCTGGTGAATCTGCCCAGATCTTCTTGGTTCTTTCGGTAAAGTCACGTAGAAGGGAAGCAATAAAATAATAAAAATAAAACGGCCACAACGCAAGCAGCCGTCCTCAGGTGAAGAATGAACCACCACCAAGCTGAGGACGGCTGCTTGCGTTGTGGCCGAAACGTCGTGAGAATTATTTTATTATGTTTTATTTTTATTATTTTATTATTTCCCTTCTACGTGACTTTACCGAAAGAACCAAGAAGATGAATCCCTGCCGTCACGAAAGCTTCAAATCGAAATTTTATTATGTTTTATTTTTATTATTTTATTACTTCCCTTCTACGTGACTTTACCGAAAGAACCAAGAAGATGAATCCCCGCAGTCACAAAAGCTTTAAATCGAAATTTAATCTGCCCAGATGTTTATAGGCCAGAGGCTGGGTTCGACTTTTCACTGGCTCATCAACATCATCAGAGTCAGACTTTGCTTGAAGCAATTGCTGCCGATAAAGATGCACTTTTCCAGAAGCCCCTACCCCCCAGAGCCGCGTGGCTGATGGTGATGCGTCAAAATACTCGTGGGTTTTTGTTTTGTTTTTTCCCCCGTGGAGAGACAAAGATGGGACGGAGGCGTTATATATGCTGTGAAGATTATGCATTGTGCGTTGGACACTCATAGATTACACAGTATATGTAATAATAATAAAAACATATGTATGTATATATAATGGAATAAACCGATGACGCGAATAAAGATATGAATATGCCACCCTACCTACGATGCAGGTCACGTGCCACCTGAATGCAGGTCACGTGCCACCTGAATGAAGGTCACGTGCCACATGGATGCGGGTCACGTGCCACCTGAATGAAGGTCACGTGCCACATGGATGCGGGTCACGTGCCACATGGATGCGGGTCACGTGCCACCTGTGTTGTGACGGCGAGTGACGTCAGCAGCCCACGTGCTCGAGTATTTCAATATTTTAATTGGAGTTTTTTAGGACGCCGCGATGAAAGCAATAATAAGACAACGCGCGGTAACTTAAAAACAAAAAGCACGCGGTTACCCATGCATCATTGAAAACATTTAAACTAAACCAAAAAAATGTGTTATTTTACCAGTTAAAGGCCCACTGTGTAGCTATTTTGTTTTAAATATATAAGCGACCTGGCTATCAACAAACGATGGCTCAACAAAGTGGCGTTCATATCATCGCCATCGCGTGGAAACGTAGCCAAATACTCCAAACGTGTGACGTTGGAGAGAACAATCGGAGGACCTGGACACAAATCCACGCGACCGCGGGGAGAGAACCTGCAAACTCTAAACTATACAGCGCGCCTAATTCTAGATTTGAAGCTTTCGTGACTGCAACGATTCATATTCTTAGGTTTTTTCGGTAAAGTCACGTAGGTAAAAAATTAAATTAATAAAAGTAAAATAAAATTAAAATCACGACGTTTCGGAGGCAACACAAGCTTGCGTCTTCAGGTGGAACAGTCACAGCACGATTGCTGTATCACTTGATACAGCTAACGTCGTGATTTTTATTTATTTACTTTTATTAATTAAAATTTTTTACCTACGTGACTTTACCGAAAAGAACCTAAGAATATACAGCGCACGTCACAGGGTCTGGGGATCGAACCCACGAGACCTCCTGCATACCAGGAAACAGAGTTACGATCTCGCCACTGCGAGCAAACATCAAGCCCGAGGCAATACGACACCGCGGGGAGGGGGAGGTGCGGGGCCTAGGTCCACCTCCCTCCCCCCACACTGCAACGCGCGGGGCCCGGGGCAGTCGCCCCAGGGACGGCTCAGACCGCGTGGGACCGCGGTCGGAATTTGAACGCGTGGAGTGCAAACGCAATCGTAGCAGGACGTACACGATCACAAACCCAGTCTGTGCGCGAGTCCACGGGTCTCTATGCGAGTATCTTGATCTCGATGGGAACCTATGGGTTTATATGCTAGTCTATGGGTCTTTATGTGAATCTACGGGTCTTTAAGCGAGTTTTTGGGCCTCTGTGTGTCTATGGGTTTCTGGGAGTCTATGGGTCTCTATATGAGTCTAATACGGGTCTCTATGCGAGTCTACTGGTCTCTATGTGAGTCTATGGGTCTCTGTGCGAGTCTACGGGTTTCTATGCGAGTCTACGGGTCTCTGTGTTAGTCTACGGGTCGCTATGTGAGTCTATGGGTCTCTATGTGAGTCTATGGGGTCTCTATGCGAGTCTACGGGTCTCTATGCGAGTCTACGGGTCGCTATGCGAGTCTACGGGTCGCTATGCGAGTCTACGGGTCTCTATGCGAGTCTACGGGTCTCTATGCGAGTCTACGGGTCTCTATGCGAGTCTACGGGTCTCTATGCGAGTCTACGGGTCTCTATTCGAGTCTACGGGTCGCTATGCGAGTCTACGGGTCTCTATGCGAGTCTACGGGTCTCTATGCGAGTCTACGGGTCTCTATGCGAGTCTACGGGTCTCTATGCGAGTCTACGGGTCTCTATGCGAGTCTACGGGTCTCTATGCGAGTCTACGGGTCTCTATGCGAGTCTACGGGTCTCTATGCGAGTCTACGGGTCTCTATTCGAGTCTACGGGTCGCTATGCGAGTCTACGGGTCTCTATGCGAGTCTACGGGTCTCTATGCGAGTCTATGGGTCTCTATGCGAGTCTATGGGTCTCTATGCGAGTCTATGGGTCTCTATGCGAGTCTACGGGTCTCTATTCGAGTCTACGGGTCTCTATGCGAGTCTACGGGTCTCTATGCGAGTCTACGGGTCTCTATGCGAGTCTACGGGTCTCTATGCGAGTCTACGGGTCTCTATGCGAGTCTATGGGTCTCTATGCGAGTCTACGGGTCTCTGTGTGAGTCTACGGGTCGCTATGCGAGTCTACGGGTCTCTATGCGAATCTACGGGTCTCTATGAGAGTCTACGGGTCTCTAGGCAAGTATACGGGTCTCTAGGTAAGTATACGGGTCGCTATGTGAGTCTACGGGTCTCTATGCGAGTCTACGGGTCTCTGTGCGAGTCTGTGCGTCTATACAAGCCACTGGTGACCGAGCCGTAAAACCGGATTAGAAACCAGGGCCTCAGGCCGTGCCGGCTCAGGATTGGTGACCTCCAAGTCACCTCGGCCACCTCCTCATTGCGCCCTCGTTTTCACGAAGTGGCGGCGATGTGCGTACAGACGTTTAATTCAAGACGCCAAAAGGCAGCGATGGTCCACTCAATCGCGTTATAACGGTAACAGAATAACCTCACACACTGAAACGTCTACCGATAGGCCGATCAGGTTCAAGACGCAGGGGGTCAACCCACGACCAACGTCAAAGACGCCATCGGCACTTGACCTCTGCCAGGTGCCTGGACGATTGCACAGGTGGTTAAGTCCCTTCAAAGAACATCATCGCCACCATCACCACCACCACAATCATCACCATGACCATTCGCCGCTAAGTGACGGTGATGTCACAACGGCTCCCGTGCCAGGCCGTCACGTGAAGAGTCAAAGGCTCGCTGGCTGACAGGAGGTCACGGGACAGACCCCAGGTGGTGCCATGGGTTGGCGGACTGAGACGAAAGGCCCCCACAACTGTAACAACTTTGGTGCGTTTTAGCCATCCGGCGTTCCGCTCATTGTCGTGAGCGTCGCTCCTCCGCCATCTCCGCTGTTGTTGCTGGAGGGCGACTGCCTCCAACTGCCCAGCAGCAGCAGCGTCCTTCATGAGCCTCCTCCACCACCACCATCATCATCATCACCACCACCTGGCCTTCAGGTCTTCCTCTTGGTTGCTAACCTATATCTGAATGCCACTACAATGGCCGTCTCAATAAATACTAAAACAAGATATAGTTTAACACGTAGCAGGCTTTCGCGACCAATATCATCTATAATGTAGGCTTGTTTTGGGTTAGATCGGGTAAATGTGTCGTTAAACCAGAGGTCGCAACCGGGTACCCGATACCCGTACCCTACCCGATACCCAGCTACCCTGTACCCGGCCGGGTATGGGTAGCCGTTTGCGACCGTGGTGCGGCCGGGTACGGGTAGGCTGTGAGTCACTGGTGAGTAACCATTTTTCACTCATTTCAGTAGGGTACGGGTAGGGAACGGCTACCCATTTGCGACCCTGGTGCGGCCGGGTACGGGTAAGGAATCAAAACCCATTTGCGACCTCTGCGTTAAACCCGCCACCACCCAGATAGACAATATGTAAGGTTTGTCACGAAAACAAAATGTGGATTTGCTCTCCAACACACCGGTGTGTTGTACTAGTAACGAATTGGCCTGTTCTGTTTTAACACCTTGACTTTCGCGACCATTATTATTTACAAGAAAGGTTTTTGGGTTTAGATCGCGTGAGTATAAATGTGTCGTAACCCTCCACCACCCGACACAGCCGGCAAGGTTCGTCACGTAAACAACGCGCCAATTAGTGAATACGTCAGCCCAGCGGTGTGTTGGAGAGTAAATGTTGTGGCGTAAATGTGGATTACTCTCCAACACACCGGGTGCGCTGAAGTGGTCACTGATTGGCGCGTTGTTACGTGACAAACCTTGCTGGCTGTGGCGGGGGGGTGGAGGGTTACGACACGTTTATACTCACACGATCTTGACCCAAAAACTTTTGTTATAAATTGGCACTTTCTGTTTCCGTGACAAACCTTACTAATTGGCCGTGTCGGGTGGTGGTGGGTTTAACGACACATTTATATTCACAAGATCTAACCCAAAACAACCTCTTATGGATGACATTTATACTTTCAAACTCGACAGTCTAATCCTCGCTCAAATACAGTCGCGGCAGGCACACACACACACGCAACACGCACATCGCACTGGCAACATGAACAACCAATAACAGCGTCAAGCTTTAAAACAATCATCGTATCTCACGCCTGCACGAATTTCCACGTTCCCATGGCAGGGGGCCAATCGGTGTCCGCCGACTGGCCGCTGGGCAGCGACCACGGCTGGGATCCGTTTAAAATGTCCCGGGCCCAGAGCTCGCAACGTTCTCTTAAGATTTCCTCGCAAGCGTGGCAGGCGGCAAGAACGTTGCGAGAAGTGTAAATTGGCTGTAAGTGAAAAACGGATGCTAAGTCGAAGTAAATACGGGCGTTGTAGAGGACTGTACCTTCACTCCCACGGCATCAGCCAATCAACATGGCTGCCACATGGACCCCCATGCAACATGGCTGCCACGAGGACCCCCATGCAACATGGCTGCCACGAGGACCCCCATGCAACATGGCTGCCACGAGGACCCCCATGCAACATGGCTGCCACGAGGACGCCCATGCAACATGGCTGCCACGAGGACGCCCATGCAACATGGCTGCCACGAGGACCCCCATGCAACATGGCTGCCACAAGGAGCCCCATGCAACATGGCTGCCACAAGGAGCCCCATGCAACATGGCTGCCACGAGGACCCCCATGCAACATGGCTGCCACGAGGACCCCCATGCAACATGGCTGCCACGAGGACCCCCATGCAACATGGCTGCCACGAGGATCCCAATGCAAGATGGCTGCAACGAGGACCCCCATGCAAGATGGCTGCCACGAAGACACCCATGCTAGATGGCTGCCACGAGGACCCCCATGCAACATGGCTGCCACGAGGACGCCCATGCAACATGGCTGCCACGAGGACGCCCATGCAACATGGCTGCCACGAGGACCCCCATGCAACATGGCTGCCACGAGGAGCCCCATGCAACATGGCTGCCACGAGGAGCCCCATGCAACATGGCTGCCACGAGGACCCCCATGCAACATGGCTGCCACGAGGACCCCCATGCAACATGGCTGCCACGAGGACCCCCATGCAACATGGCTGCCACGAGGATCCCAATGCAAGATGGCTGCAACGAGGACCCCCATGCAAGATGGCTGCCACGAAGACACCCATGCTAGATGGCTGCCACGAGGACCCCCATGCAACATGGCTGCCACGAGGACGCCCATGCAACATGGCTGCCACGAGGACGCCCATGCAACATGGCTGCCACGAGGACCCCCATGCAACATGGCTGCCACGAGGAGCCCCATGCAACATGGCTGCCACGAGGAGCCCCATGCAACATGGCTGCCACGAGGACCCCCATGCAACATGGCTGCCACGAGGACCCCCATGCAACATGGCTGCCACGAGGATCCCAATGCAAGATGGCTGCAACGAGGACCCCCATGCAAGATGGCTGCCACGAAGACACCCATGCTAGATGGCTGCCACGAGGACCCCCATGCAAGATGGCTGCCACGAGGACCCCTATGCAAGATGGCTGCCAGGAGGACACCCATGCAAGATGGCTGCCACGAGGACCCCCATGCAACATGGCTGCCACGAAGACACCCATGCTAGATGGCTGCCACGAGGACCCCCATGCAAGATGGCTGCCACGAGGACCCCATGCAACATGGCTGCCACGAGGACCCCCATGCAAGATGGCTGCCACGAGGACCCCCATGCAAAATGGCTGCCACGAGGACCCCCATGCAAGATGGCTGCCACGAGGACCTCCATGCAACATGGCTGCCACGAGGACCCCCATGCAAGATGGCTGCCACGAGGTCCCCCATGCAAGATGGCTGCCATGACATCATCGCTGCCTGTGTTTAAGCCAGTCCATGACCAGAGTTAGCGTGTTGATGTTACTGATGGTATCACAATTGATTATACCAATATCGTGAGAAATGTCGGAGCCGTTTGGTCTTGTTGTTATCGTTTAAGATCAATATCTACACGCGTGACGTCGGGCACTCCGAAAGATGTATCGTAACTTTACGACCCGCCCCAATATCGTCGACCGTCTAATTTGCTCGTGGGTTGCGACAAATCTTCCCTCACATCTTTCTTTTCTCGCTACGATTGACGTAACACGCTCTGTGCTCTGGCCACGTAAACTGAAAACCCGTAAACATAATGAAATAAAAGCTTGTGCAACTTTAGGAATCGAAACTTTCGAATTTTGGTGAATTGGAAGCATGGGTCACCTCGTCATCGTCTGGGACAAGGTGGGGGGGGGGGGGGAACGTGGTAATGGTGCAGCCCTGAAACGTCTCGCTCACGCCACCACCGCTGACCAAAGAGGTCAACACCACCGCTAGAGGGGGCTCTGACTGCGGGAAGAGGCCCCCTCCAGCGAAGGGGTCAGGGGGGCAAACCAAAAAATGACAAGATAGAGGCATTATTTTTCTTCCGCGTTCGGTAAAAAAGATAAACCATCTCAACACAGGGACGCCTCTACTTACGAACATTCGACTTGGGGACTTTCAGAGATACGAACAAACCGTGTCCGTACGTCCAGTTGCCTGTTCGGACCGAGAGTCGTAAGGTCGACTGCCCCGCACAATAGATGGCGGTGGTGGCAACTACATCTGCAGAACGTGAAGAACCAGTGGCATCTACATCTGTAGAACGTGAAGAACCAGTGGCATCTACATCTACAGAATGTGAAGAACCAGTGACATCTACATCTGCAGAACGTGAAGAACCAGTGGCATCTACATCTGTAGAACGTGAAGAACCAGTGGCATCTACATCTACAGAATGTGAAGAACCAGTGACATCTATATCTGCAGAACGTGAAGAACCAGTGGCATCTACATCTGTAGAACGTGAAGAACCAGTGGCATCTACATCTACAGAATGTGAAGAACCAGTGACATCTACATCTGCAGAACGGGAAGAACCAGTGGCATCTACATCTGTAGAACGTGAAGAACCAGTGGCATCTACATCTGCAGAACATGAAGAACCAGTGGCATCTACATCTACAGAAGGTGAAGAACCAGTGGCGTCTACATCTGCAGAACGTGAAGAACCAGTGGCATCTACATCTACAGAAGGTGAAGAACCAGTGGCGTCTACATCTGCAGAACGTGAAGAACCAGTGGCACCTACATCTGCAGAACGTGAAGAACCAGTGGCGTCTACATCTACAGAACGTGAAGAACCAGTGGCGTCTACATCTGCAGAACGCGAAGAACCAGTGGCGTCTACATCTGCAGAATGTGAAGAACCAGTGGCGTCTACATCTGCAGAACGCGAAGAACCAGTGGCGTCTACATCAGCAGAATGTGAAGAACCAGTGGCATCTACATCTGCAGAACGTAAAGAACCAGTGGCATCTACATCTGCATAACGTGAAGAACTGGTGGCATCTACATCTACATCTGCAGAATGTGAAGAACCAGTGGCATCTACATCTGCAGAACGTAAAGAACCAGTGGCGTCTACATCTGCAGAACATGAAGAGCCAGTGGCATCTACATCTACAGAACGTGAACCAGTGGCACCTACATCTGCAGAACGCGAAGAGCCAGTGGCATCTACATCTACAGAACGTGAATAACCAGTGGCACCTACATCCGCAGAACATGAAAAACCAGTGGCACCTACATCTGCAGAACGTGAAGAACCAGTGGCATACACATCAGCAGAACGTGAAGAACCAGTGGCATCTGCAAAACGTGAGGAACCAGTGGCGTCTACATCTGCAGAATGTGAAGAACCAGTGGCATCTACATCTACAGAACTTGAAGAACCAGTGGCGTCTACGTCTGCAGAACGTGAAGAACCAGTAGCATATACATCTGCAGAACGTGAAGAATCAGTGGTATCTACATCTGCAGAACATGAGGAACCAGTGGCATCGACATCTGCAGAACGTGAAGAACCAGTGGCATCTACATCTGCATAACGTGAAGAACCAGTGGCATCTACATCTGGAGAACATGAAAGACCAGTGACAATGACATCTGCAGAACGTTAATAACCAGTGGCATCTATATCTATAGAAAGTGAAGAACCAGTGGCATCTACATCTACAAAACGTGAAGAACCAGTGGCATCTACATCTGCAGAACGTGAGGAACCAGTGGCGTCTACATCTGCAGAATGTGAAGAACCAGTGGCGTCTACATCTACAGAACACGAAGAACCAGTGGCATCTACATCTGCAGAACATGAAAGACCAGTGACAATGACATCTGCAGAACGTGAAGAACCAGTGGTATCGACATCTGCAGAACATGAGGAACCAGTGGCATCAACATCTGCAGAACGTGAAGAACCAGTGGCATCTACATCTGCAGAACATGAAGAACCAGTGGCATCTACATCTGCAGAATGTGAAGAACCAGTGGCGTCTACATCTACAGAACGTAAAGAACCAGTGGCATCTACATCTACAGAACGTGAATAACCATTGGCATCTACATCTGCAGAACACGAAGAACCAGTGGCATCTACATCTGCAGAACATGAAAGACCAGTGACAATGACATCTGCAGAACATGAGCAACCAGTGGCATCAACATCTGCAGAACGTGAAGAACCAGTGGCATCTACATCTGCAGAACGTGAAGAACCAGTGGCATCCACATCTACAGGAGATAATACACCTTTTAAAGCCATTCCCCCGTGTTTAGTGTACACAGCATACAACACGTTTGGAATCTACAGGAGTAAAGTTGGGACTTACGAACAGAAACCTCCGTAGCAAAACTCATTCGTAAGTAGAGACGTCGTCACTGTACCTCAATAGCCGCGCAGTGCGCGATAAATACGAGACGGAGAGTCCTTCAAAAATAACGTCACACGCGAAGCAGTGCCTTAAGGAGCCGTCGTAAGTTTGCCGACCAATGCTCCAGCGTTGTACTCGGCCTACTCTTCCAGGCTGGCCGGACATGTGGTGGAATAAGACGGCGTGGAAGTTTAGAGCAGCAGCCAAAAACTCTCAACGAGTGATGTTGATCTTAAGCGTGGAGGGAAAAACCGAAAGACCCCGGAGATAAATACACGCGACCACGGCGAGAGAGACGCAGACTCTCAAGAGACACCAGGCATCGTGGTCATCATGATGATGATGATGAGAGAGAGAAACGCGCAAACTCCAAATATACAGCAGCAGGTGTCAGCGTCGGGATCGAACCCACGTCCTCCTGTATACCAGGCGAGGTAGTTAACATCTCCTGGCCACCGTGATGATGATGAGAGAGAGACACGCAAACTCCAAATATAGAGCAGCAGGCGTCAGCGTCGGGATCGAACCCACGACCTCCTGTATACCACGCGAGGTAGTCAACATCTCCTAGCCACCGTGATGATGATGATGATGAGCGAGACACGCAAACTCCAAATATACAGCAGGCATCACGGTTGGGATCGACCCCATGACCTCCTGTACACCAGTCGAGGTAGTTAACATCTCCTGGCCACCATGATGATGAGAGAGAAACACGCAAACTCCAAATACACAGCAGACGTCACGGTTGGGATCGAACCCACGACCTCCTGTATAGCGGGTGAGGTTGTTAACATCTCCTAGCCACCGTGATGATGATGAGAGAGACACGCAAACTCCAAATATACAGCAGACGTCAAGGTTGGGATCGACCCCACGACCTCCTGTACACCAGTCGAGGTAGTTAACATCTCCTGGCCACCATGATGATGAGAGAGAAACACGCAAACTCCAAATACACAGCAGACGTCCCAGTTGGGATCGAACCCACGACCTCCTGTATACCGGGCGAGGTTGTTAACATCTCCTAGCCACCAGTGCCTACGTTCCCCATCGCTGATGCGAATGTGTCAAAGCCGTGGACTCGTTCAATAAATAAACCACAACGACCGATGCCACAGACATCGTGCAATCTGACGAGTGTCGAAGCATCGGGGGGTGTTTGTCTCCTGTTGACATGCTCCGCTGAGCCGGTGGTGGAAACTCCACGTTCCGATGTTGGGGGTTTTTATCCACCCCGGAGGGACGACGACGCTGATGGGCTAAACGCGACCACATCCCACCGCGTCTCTGCCGAACCTTGCAAGCTGCCTTGGTTACGTAAAAAAGTTAACGTCTCGCCAAACGTGGCACGCGGTTCGATGGGATGCAGTCCAACCGACCGACCAGGTGCCGTGAAACGTTCAGCGGAGTTTTTGCGAACTTCCCCGAGTCAGTTCCTCACTTTGCTCGTGCGCCGCATGCCCCCAAGCTCTTTGACTCTCGGCGTTTTCACTTCCTGTCACGTTCCCGTCGAGGTTGAAACACGAAGAAGCATCACTCTACTTTGTCTTCCTCCTTCTCCTCATCCACCTCCTCTTCCTCTCCTGCCCCTCCTCTTCCTCCGTCCTCCTCCACCTCCTCCTCGTCTTCACAAGTTCAGTTTCTTCAACTGCTCGTACGTGATGAAGAACTGAGGATGGGCGGCGGTGTCGGGGGAACATTCGAGTCAGGGAATGAACCCCATCGACAATGGCACGCACGCGGGAATTAACGAATTACCGAACGAATGAATTTTGGCAGAGCAACATCACTAATACACGAGTGGTTTTTTTTTGCGTTAGATCGCGCAAATATAAATGTGTCGTTAATACCCGCCACCACCCGACAGACAATTAGTAAGATAATTGTTTTTTTTACCCTTTTATCTGGCAACAAAACTGACACCTTTTTGACAAGGAGTCATGTTTGCATAGACCACAATACCTGCAGTCGTAATGCAAACAAAAAACATAACTCTGATAATGTATGCACTGTCCTTGAACAGTCCTTGAACAGTGCATACATTATCAGAGTTATGTTTTTTGTTTGCATTACGACTGTAGGTATTGTGGTCTATGCAAACATGACTCCTCGTAAAAAAGGTGTCAGTTTTGTTTCCAGATAGAAAGGTAAAAAACCAATTATCATATTTTTTACTGGCAAATGAGGTTCCAATGGTGTAAACAATTAGTAAGGTTTGTCAGTAAACCCACAACGTTGACATGTTGTGTGGTTACTCTCCAACACACCAGTGTGCTGAACTAGTAAGGAATTGACAAGTTCCATTTACCAGACAAACCTCACTAATTGGCTTTGCCGGGTGGTGGCGGGTTTAACGACACATTTATATTCACGCGAACTAATCCAAAAAAACTGTATTGTGGATAATATTGCTTGCGAAAGCCTACGTGTTAAACTCGCTTATACAGTCACCGTCTTTCAACGACGATTACGACGACGATGATGATGATGTTGAGATGTCAATGACTGCGATCATGGTGCTGATGATGTTGAGATGTCAGTGACTGTGATCATGATGATGATGTTGAGATGTCAGTGACTGATCGTGGTGGTGGTGATGATGAAATGTCAGTGACTGTGATCGTGATGATGATCATGATCATGTTGAGATTTCAGTATATGCGGCTGTTGTTAATGATGCAGCGAATGATGATGATGATGGCACTGCTGCTGCTGCTGATGATATTTAAGGATACAATGATGTTCCAAGGTCCCAGCCGGAGCCAGTTGGGCCAGAAGCCCTTGTAGAGCGCCATGAAGCCCTCCGTACGGAACGTCTGCCTCACAAGCACACACGCACGCACAGACACACACACGCGCACACGTAAGCACGCACACACACACACACTCGGGCACACGCACGCAGACACACACACACACGCAAATAACACAAAACAAAGACACACGCACACAGCCAAACACACACGCTCAGACGCACACATACGCAGACAGACACAGGGACGGATACACGAACACAATGGCAGACACGTAGGCCTTTAACGTCGCGCTTAAACCCAAATCCCTGCACCCCGGACCCACGACGTCACCTGGACGTGGCGCTTTCACCCAAATCCCACCACCAGCCATCCGCTCTCGACCCCTGACCCGCGCCCCCGACGCCCGACCGGGGTCACTAGATGTTGACGACCTCGCCTGGTATACAGGAGGTCGTAGGTTCGATCCCGACCCTGACGATGCCTATTTGGAGTTTGCGTGTCTCTCTCTCTCATCATCATCACGGTGGCTAGGAGATGTTAACGACCTCGCCTGGTATACAGGAGGTCGTGGGTTCGATCCCGACCCTGACGACGCCTATTTGGAGTTTGCGTGTCTCTCTCTCTCTCCGCGGTCACGCAGATTCTTGTCTGCTTCCTACACTTTTTCCCCTCCGCATTTAGAATCAACGTCACGTGCTTTAGAGTATTTAGCTGCTATAAATGTCCACGCGACGACGACAACGACAAGCACCACTTCGCCGAGCCATCATTCGCCATATCCAGGGTCGCTTCTGAAAAAGCTCAGGAGGGCTAGAGTTGAAGCTTTCGTGACTGCAAGGATTCATATTCTTAGGTTTTTTTCGGTAAAGTTACGTAGGTAAAACATTTAAATTTAAATTAATAAAAATAAAATAAAAATCACGACGTTTCGGAGGCAACACAAGCTTCCGTCTTCAGGTGGAAACGTCACAGCACGCCTGCTGTATCAAGTAAGTGAGAAATTCCAAGAAAACAGTATTCGTATATATACTTGGCTCCTCCCACCCTCAACCAGTATATATACAAGGACTGTTTTCTTGGAATTTCTCTCACTTGAAACAGCAATCGTGCTGTGACGGTTCCACCTGAAGACGGAAGCTTGTGTTGCCTCCGAAACGTCGTGATTTTTATTTAATTTTTATTTTTATTAATTTAAATTTTTTACCTACGTGACTTTACCGAAAAAACCTAAGAATATAAGCTCAGGAGGGCCTTGCTACACACCTGGCAAAATTAAAAAAAACTAAAACTTTCATTTCCACAGTTGAGTTCACCTGCAGCATGCAGTGCAGCGTGCCCCGGTAGAGGGCGGCGGTGCTGGTGGCGGCGCCGGTGCTCTTGAGGTGGCGCTGGTTCATCATGCGCGTGCGCACAACGTCCACCGGGTTGGAGGCCAGGGCGCCCGCCAGGCCGCACGCGAAGCTCGAACTGGGAACGCAACACGCCGAGACCATCACGCGGAGACCATCACGCGGAGACCACGAGGAGACGACCACGCGGAGACGACCACGCGGAGACCATCACGCGGAGACCACGAGGAGACGACCACGCGGAGACGACCACGCGGAGATGAGTAAACGTAGACACAGAGAAGACACGGAGATGACACGGAGACAGAGACATGGAGATGAGTAAATGTAGACACAGAGAAGACGCGGAGATGACACGGACACAGAGACATGGAGATGAGTAAACGTAGACGCAGAGAAGACGCGGAGATGACACGGAGACAGAGACATGGAGATGAGTAAATGTAGACACAGAGAAGACGCGGAGATGACACGGACACAGAGACATGGAGATGAGTAAACGTAGACGCAGAGAAGACGCGGAGATGACACGGACACAGAGACATGGAGATGAGTAAACATAGACACAGAGAAGACGCGGAGATGACACGGACACAGAGACATGGAGATGAGTAAACGTAGACACAGAGAAGACGCGGAGATGACACGGACACAGAGACATGGAGATGAGTAAACGTAGACGCAGAGAAGACGCGGAGATGACACGGACACAGAGACATGGAGATGAGTAAACGTAGACACAGAGAAGACGCGGAGATGACACGGACACAGAGACATGGAGATGAGTAAACGTAGACACAGAGAAGACGCGGAGATGACACGGACACAGAGACATGGAGATGAGTAAACGTAGACACAGAGAAGACGCGAAGATGACACGGACACAGAGACATGGAGATGAGTAAATGTAGACACAGAGAAGACGCGGAGATGACACGGAGACAGAGACATGGAGATGAGTAAACGTAGACACAGAGAAGACGCGGAGATGACACGGACACAGAGACATGGAGATGAGTAAACGTAGACGCAGAGAAGACGCGGAGATGACACGGACACAGAGACATGGAGATGAGTAAACGTAGACGCAGAGAAGACGCGGAGATGACACGGACACAGAGACATGGAGATGAGTAAACATAGACACAGAGAAGACGCGGAGATGACACGGACACAGAGACATGGAGATGAGTAAATGTAGACACAGAGAAGACGCGGAGATGACACGGACACAGAGACATGGAGATGAGTAAACGTAGACGCAGAGAAGACGCGGAGATGACACGGACACAGAGACATGGAGATGAGTAAACATAGACACAGAGAAGACGCGGAGATGACACGGACACAGAGACATGGAGATGAGTAAACGTAGACACAGAGAAGATGCGGAGATGACACGGACACAGAGACATGGAGATGAGTAAACGTAGACACAGAGAAGACGCGGAGATGACACGGAGACAGAGACATGGAGATGAGTAAACGTAGACGCAGAGAAGACGCGGAGATGACACGGACACAGAGACATGGAGATGAGTAAACGTAGACACAGAGAAGACGCGGAGATGACACGGACACAGAGACATGGAGATGAGTAAACGTAGACACAGAGAAGACGCGGAGATGACACGGACACAGAGACATGGAGATGAGTAAACATAGACACAGAGAAGACGCGGAGATGACACGGACACAGAGACATGGAGATGAGTAAACGTAGACACAGAGAAGACGCGGAGATGACACGGACACAGAGACATGGAGATGAGTAAACGTAGACACAGAGAAGACGCGGAGATGACACGGACACAGAGACATGGAGATGAGTAAACGTAGACACAGAGAAGACACGGAGATGACACGGACACAGAGACATGGAGATGAGTAAACATAGACACAGAGAAGACGCGGAGATGACACGGACACAGAGACATGGAGATGAGTAAACGTAGACACAGAGAAGACGCGGAGATGACACGGACACAGAGACATGGAGATGAGTAAACGTAGACACAGAGAAGACGCGGAGATGACACGGAGACAGAGACATGGAGATAAGTAAACGTAGACACAGAGAAGACGCGGAAATGACACGGACACAGAGACATGGAGATGAGTAAACGTAGACACAGAGAAGACGCGGAGATGACACGGACACAGAGACATGGAGATGAGTAAACGTAGACACAGAGAAGATGCGGAGATGACACGGACACAGAGACATGGAGATGAGTAAACGTAGACACAGAGAAGACGCGGAGATGACACGGAGACAGAGACATGGAGATGAGTAAACGTAGACGCAGAGAAGACGCGGAGATGACACGGACACAGAGACATGGAGATGAGTAAACGTAGACACAGAGAAGACGCGGAGATGACACGGACACAGAGACATGGAGATGAGTAAACGTAGACACAGAGAAGACGCGGAGATGACACGGACACAGAGACATGGAGATGAGTAAACATAGACACAGAGAAGACGCGGAGATGACACGGACACAGAGACATGGAGATGAGTAAACGTAGACACAGAGAAGACGCGGAGATGACACGGACACAAAGACATGGAGATGAGTAAACGTAGACACAGAGAAGACGCGGAGATGACACGGACACAGAGACATGGAGATGAGTAAACGTAGACACAGAGAAGACACGGAGATGACACGGACACAGAGACATGGAGATGAGTAAACATAGACACAGAGAAGACGCGGAGATGACACGGACACAGAGACATGGAGATGAGTAAACGTAGACACAGAGAAGACGCGGAGATGACACGGACACAGAGACATGGAGATGAGTAAACGTAGACACAGAGAAGACGCGGAGATGACACGGAGACAGAGACATGGAGATGAGTAAACGTAGACGCAGAGAAGACGCGGAGATGACACGGACACAGAGAGACATGGAGATGAGTAAACGTAGACACAGAGAAGACGCGGAAATGACACGGACACAGAGACATGGAGATGAGTAAACGTAGACACAGAGAAGACGCGGAGATGACACGGAGACAGAGACATGGAGATGAGTAAACGTAGACACAGAGAAGACGCGGAGATGACACGGAGACAGAGACATGGAGATGAGTAAACGTAGACACAGAGAAGACGCGGAGATGACACGGACAGAGAGACATGGAGATGAGTAAACGTAGACACAGAGAAGACACGGAGATGACACGGACACAGAGACATGGAGATGAGTAAACGTAGACACAGAGAAGACGCGGAGACAGAGACATGGAGATGAGTAAACGTAGACACAGAGAAGACGCGGAGATGACACGGACACAGAGACATGGAGATGAGTAAACGTAGACACAGAGAAGACGCGGAGACAGAGACATGGAGATGAGTAAACGTAGACACAGAGAAGACGCGGAGATGACACGGACACAGAGACATGGAGATGAGTAAACGTAGACACAGAGAAGACGCGGAGACAGAGACATGGAGATGAGTAAACGTAGACACAGAGAAGACGCGGAGATGACACGGACACAGAGACATGGAGATGAGTAAACGTAGACACAGAGAAGACGCGGGAATGACACGGACATGGCACAGAGATGACACGGAGACACGAAGATGACACGATGACACGGAGATGAGTAAACGTAGACACAAAGATGACACGGAGATGACACGGAGACACGGAGATGACAGAGACACGGAGATGAGTAAACGTAGACACAGAGATGACACGGAGATGACACGGAGACACAGAGACACAGATACGTAAACATAGACTTAGAAAGATACGGAGACACGAGCTGAGACACGGAGACCCAGAGAGACCCAGAGAGACCCAGAGAGACACAGAGAGACACAGAGAGACACAGACATGGACGTACATACTGAGACATGAACTCTGGCACAGAGACAGAGGAGGGTGGAGCGGGTGAGTGAGCGGGTGAGTGAGCGAGTTAGCGAGTGACCAAGTGAGTGAGCGGGTAAGTGAGCGACCAGGTGAGCAAGCGGGTGAGTGAGCGGGTGAGTGAACGGGTGAGCGAGCGGGTGAGTGAGCGACCAGGTGAGTGAGCGAGTTAGCGAGTGACCAGGTGAGTGAGCGGGTGAGTGAGCGGGTGAGTGAGCGAGCAGGTGAGTGAGCGGGTGAGTGAGCAAGTTAGCGAGTGACCAGGTGAGTGAGCGGGTGAGTGAGCGGGCGAGTGAGCGAGTGAGCAGGTGAGTGACCAGGTGAGTGAGCGGGTGAGTGAGCGAGTTAGCGAGTGACCAGGTGAGTGAGCGGGTGAGTGAGCGAGTTAGCGAGTGACCAGGTGAGTGAGCGGGTGAGTGAGTGAGTTAGCGAGTGACCAGGTGAGTGAGCGGGTGAGTGAGCGGGTGAGTGAGCGAGTTAGCGAGTGACCAGGTTAGCGAGCGGGCGAGTGAGCGGGTGAGTGAGCGTGTGAGTGAGCGACCAGTTGAGTGAGCGAGTTATCGAGTGACCAGGTTAGCGAGCGGGTGAGTGAGCGGGTGAGTGAGCGTATGAGTGAGCGACCAGGTGAGTGAGCGAGTTAGCGAGTGACCAGGTGAGTGAGCGGGTGAGTGAGCGAGTTAGCGAGTGACCAGGCGAGTGAGCGGGTGAGTGAGCGAGTTAGCGAGTGACCAGGTGAGCGAGCGGGTGAGTGAGCGACCAGGTGAGTGAGCGGGTTAGTGAGCGGGTGAGGGAGCGGGTGAGCGAGCGGGTGAGCGAGCGGGTGAGCGAGCGGGTGAGCGAGCGACCAGGTGAGTGAGCGAGTGAGTGTGTGAGTGAGTGACCAGGTGAGTGAGCGAGTGAGTGAGCGTGTGAGTGAGCGACCAGGTGAGTGAGCGAGTTAGCGAGTGAGCGAGTTAGCGAGCGAGTGAGTGAGTGGGTGAGTGAGCGTGTGAGTGAGCGACCAGGTGAGTGAGCGAGTTAGCGAGTGACCAGGTTAGCGAGCGGGCGAGTGAGCGGGCGAGTGAGTTGGCAAGCAAGTGAGCGAGCGGGCGACTCACACAAAGTGGGTGAGCACGGTGTCACCCATGACGCCCGACAGGATGAGGTGCTTCTTGGTGATGTCGTACACCGGCAGCTCCACGCCCACCACGATCGCCGCTCGCTGTGCCGTCTGCATGACTCCCTACGCACGCACAAGTGTACACACACACGCACGCACACACGCACAAGTGTACACACACACACGCACAAGTGTACACACACACACGCACAAGTGTACACACGCACGCACACATACACACGCACAAGTGTACACACACGCACGCACACACGCACAAGTGTACACACACACACGCACAAGTGTACACACACACACGCACAAGTTTACACACGCACGCACACATACACACGCACAAGTGTACACACGCACACACACATACACACGCACAAGCGTACACACGCACGCACACATACACACGCACAAGTGTACACACGCACACACACGTACACGTGTACACACGCACGCCCACACGCACAAGTGTACACACACACACACAATCGTACACACGCACGCACACATACACACGCACAAGTGTACACACGCACGCACAAGCGTACACACGCACGCACGCACACACACACACAAGTGTACACACACACGCACAAGTGTACACACACACACGCACACACACGCACACACGCACAAGTGTACACACACGCACACACGCACAAGTGTACACACGCACGCACACACACGCACACACGCACGCACACACACACACGCACACACGCACGCACGCACACACACACGCACACACGCACGCACACACGCACGCACACACCAGACAAAGGTCGCCGTGTAGCCTTCAACAGACTGTTGGGGCAAGTGCCGCTAGCAAGCACACATCACCAGCGCAGTCACACGTATCGCAAGCGCAGGTACACAAGACAAAGGTCCATAGGTGAGCATGAATCGAACTCTCTGTGTCTCTCCGTGTCTCTCTCTCCGTGTCTCTCCGTGTCTCTCTCTGTGTCTCTCCGTGTCTCTCTCTGTCTCCGTGTCTCTCTCTGTCTCCGTGTCTCTCTCTGTCTCCGTGTCTCTCTCTGTCTCCGTGTCTCTCTCTGTCTCCGTGTCTCTCTCTGTCTCCGTTGTCTCTCTCTCTCTGTCTCCGTGTCTCTCTCTGTCTCCGTGTCTCTCTCTGTCTCCGTGTCTCTCTCTGTCTCCGTGTCTCTCTCTGTCTCCGTGTCTCTCTCTGTCTCCGTGTCTCTCTCTGTCTCCGTGTCTCTCTCTGTCTCCGTGTCTCTCTCTGTCTCCGTGTCTCTCTCTGTCTCCGTGTCTCTCTCTGTCTCCGTGTCTCTCTCTGTCTCCGTGTCTCTCTCTGTCTCCGTGTCTCTCTCTCTGTCTCCGTGTCTCTCTCTGTCTCCGTGTCTCTCTCTGTCTCCGTGTCTCTCTCTGTCTCCGTGTCTCTCTCTATGTCTCCGTGTCTCTCTCTGTCTCCGTGTCTCTCTCTCTCCATGTCTCTCTCTCCCGTGTCTCTCTCTCTCCGTGTCTCTCTCTGTCTCCGTGTCTCTCTCTGTCTCCGTGTCTCTCTCTGTCTCCGTGTCTCTCTCTGTCTCCGTGTCTCTCTCTCTGTCTCCGTGTCTCTCTCTGTCTCCGTGTCTCTCTCTGTCTCCGTGTCTCTCTCTGTCTCCGTGTCTCTCTCTCTGTCTCCGTGTCTCTCTCTGTCTCCGTGTCTCTCTCTCTGTCTCCGTGTCTCTCTCTGTCTCCGTGTCTCTCTCTCTCTCCGTGTCTCTCTCTCTCTCCGTGTCTCTCTCTGTCTCCGTGTCTCTCTCTCTCTCCGTGTCTCTCTCTGTCTCCGTGTCTCTCTCTGTCTCCGTGTCTCTCTCTGTCTCCGTGTCTCTCTCTGTCTCCGTGTCTCTCTCTGTCTCCGTGTCTCTCTCTCTCTCCGTGTCTCTCTCTCTCTCCGTGTCTCTCTCTGTCTCCGTGTCTCTCTCTGTCTCCGTGTCTCTCTCTGTCTCCGTGTCTCTCTCTGTCTCCGTGTCTCTCTCTGTCTCCGTGTCTCTCTCTGTCTCCGTGTCTCTCTCTGTCTCCGTGTCTCTCTCTCTCTCCGTGTCTCTCTCTCTCTCCGTGTCTCTCTCTGTCTCCGTGTCTCTCTCTGTCTCCGTGTCTCTCTCTGTCTCCGTGTCTCTCTCTGTCTCCGTGTCTCTCTCTGTCTCCGTGTCTCTCTCTGTCTCCGTGTCTCTCTCTCTCTCCGTGTCTCTCTCTCTCCGTGTCTCTCTCTGTCTCCGTGTCTCTCTCTGTCTCCGTGTCTCTCTCTGTCTCCGTGTCTCTCTCTGTCTCCGTGTCTCTCTCTGTCTCCGTGTCTCTCTCTCTCTCCGTGTCTCTCTCTCTCCGTGTCTCTCTCTGTCTCCGTGTCTCTCTCTGTCTCCGTGTCTCTCTCTCTCCATGTCTCTCTCTCCCCGTGTCTCTCTCTCTCCGTGTCTCTCTCTCCGCGTGTCTCTCTCCCCGTGTCTCTCTCTCAGTGTCTCTCTCTCTCCGTGTCTCTGAAGTTGAGCAAGTGCTGTGCGGCAATGGTAGTGACTGCGGTGGTTGTGATGATGATGATGGTGATGATGATTAGGACGGTGTCGGTGACGGCGGTGATGGCGGTGGTGGTGATGATGATGATGGTGTCGGTGACGGTGGTAGTGATGATGACGATGGTGGTGGTGATGATTATGATGTGTCGGTGATGGTGGTGATAGTGGTGGTGGCGGCGGAGGTGGTGATGATTATGATGGTGGTAGTGGTGGTGATGATGATGATGATGGTGGTGATGATTATGACGGTGTCGGTGGTGTTGGTGGTGATCGTAGTGCTGGCGGTAGTGGTGGTGTTGGTGGTGGTGGCGGTGGTGTTGGTGGTGATCGTAGTGCTGGCGGTAGTGGTGGTGTTGGTGGTGGTGGCGGTGGTGTTGGTGGTGATCGTAGTGCTGGCGGTAGTGGTGGTGTTGGTGGTGGTGGCGGTGGTGTTGGTGGTGATCGTAGTGCTGGCGGTAGTGGTGGTGTTGGTGGTGGTGGCGGTGGTGTTGGTGGTGATCGTAGTGGTGGCGGTGGCGGCAATCCGGGTCACAGAGCAGCAGCAGCAGCAGCAGCAGCAGCAGCAGCGGCGGTGGCGGCTCACCCTCCAGAGGCCCCGCGTGCCCTCCTGCTGGTAAATGTCGATGAAGCTCCCAATCATCCCCGTCTGGAACACGCCTCCCTGTGCCTGCATGCGAATCTGAGACACAAAGACAAAGAACACCCCCACCCCGTGTAGCCTTAACAAACCGTAGGGGCAAGTGCTGTTAGCGATCGGCAGCACCGGTGAAGGCTACCGGCACGGCACACGAGGGTGTGGGTGGCCAGCACCACGCCCGGCCGCCTTTGTCTCCCCAGTGGCTGTGTTTGCATGCCGCACCAGGTACTCATTTGAGGCTTAGTCGACCTAGGGGAGGCCCAAAAGTGGTTCAGATAATCGTCACTGTTGTGGGAGCGGGAATCGAACCCAGGTCGCTGGGTTTGTAGCGCAGCGCGCTTACCGCTACACTACCGCTCCCCAAACACGCACACACACTACGTACAGACACGCACGTGCACACTACACACACACACGCGCACACACGCCACGTACAGACACACACGCACACACTACATACAGACACGCACGCGCACACTACACACGCGCGCGTGTATACACTACGTACAGACACACGCACACACACCACGTACAGACACACACGCACACACTACACACACACGCACGCGTGTATACACTACGTACAGACACACACGCACACACCACGTACACACACACGCACACACTACGTACACGCACACACTACGTACGCACAAACAACGCATGCACACACACTACGTGCGCACACACAACGTACGCACACACAACGTACGCACACACACTACGTGCGCACACACACTACGTGCGCACACACACGCACACACTATGTACACATGCGCACACACCACGTACACAGATACACGTGTGTGCGTGTGTGCGTGTGTGCGTGTGTGTGGGGGCAGCGTCACCTTGAGCACGTCGGTGGGGTTGGCGATGGTGGAGGAGACGACGCCGGAGAGGACCCCACACAGCACGTTCACAGGCAGCGTCTCGTCTACACGCAGACACGCGTCACGTGACACGTCACCCCACACAGCACGTTCACAGGCAGCGTCTCGTCTACACGCAGACACGCGTCACGTGACACGTCACCCCACACAGCACGTTCACAGGCAGCGTCTCGTCTACACGCAGACACGCGTCACGTGACACGTCACCCCACACAGCACGTTCACAGGCAGCGTCTCGTCTACACGCAGACACGCGTCACGTGACACGTCACCCCACACAGCACGTTCACAGGCAGCGTCTCATCTACACGCAGACACACGTCACGTGACACGTCACCCCACACAGCACGTGACACGTCACCCACACAGCACGTGACACGTCACCCCACACAGCACGTTCACAGGCAGCGTCTCGTCTACACGCAGACACGCGTCACGTGACACGTCACCCCACACAGCACGTTCACAGGCAGCGTCTCGTCTACACGCAGACACGCGTCACGTGACACGTCACCCCACACAGCACGTTCACAGGCAGCGTCTCATCTACACACAGACACACGTCACGTGACACGTCACCCCACACAGCACGTTCACAGGCAGCGTCTCATCTACACGCAGACACACGTCACGTGACACGTCACCCCACACAGCACGTGACACGTCACCCACACAGCACGTGACACGTCACCCCACACAGCACGTTCACAGGCAGCGTCTCGTCTACACGCAGACACGCGTCACGTGACACGTCACCCCACACAGCACGTTCACAGGCAGCGTCTCGTCTACACGCAGACACACGTCACGTGACACGTCACCCCACACAGCACGTTCACAGGCAGCGTCTCATCTACACACAGACACGCGTCACGTGACACGTCACCCACACAGCACGTTCACAGGCAGCGTCTCATCTACACACAGACACACGTCACGTGACACGTCACCCACACAGCACGTTCACAGGCAGCGTCTCATCTACACACAGACACACGTCACGTGACACGTCACCCCACACAGCACGTTCACAGGCAGCGTCTCATCTACACACAGACACACGTCACGTGACACGTCACCCCACACAGCACGTTCACAGGCAGCGTCTCATCTACACACACACGTGTCACGTGACACGTCACCCACACAGCACGTTCACAGGCAGCGTCTCGTCTACACGCAGACACGCGTCACGTGACACGTCACCCACACAGCACGTTCACAGGCAGCGTCTCGTCTACACGCAGACACGCGTCACGTGACACGTCACCCACACAGCACGTTCACAGGCAGCGTCTCGTCTACACGCAGACACGCGTCACGTGACACGTCACCCACACAGCACGTTCACAGGCAGCGTCTCGTCTACACGCAGACACGCGTCACGTGACACGTCACCCACACAGCACCCGACACTGCACCCACACGTCACGTGACACGTCACCCACACAGCACGTTCACAGGCAGCGTCTCATCTACACACAGACACACGTCACGTGACACGTCACCCACACAGCACGTTCACAGGCAGCGTCTCGTCTACACGCAGACACACGTCACGTGACACGTCACCCACACAGCACCCGACACAGCACCCACACGTCACGTGACACGTCACCCACACAGCACGTTCACAGGCAGCGTCTCATCTAAACACAGACACACGTCACGTGACACGTCACCCACACAGCACCCGACACAGCACCCAC